TGTGAATCAGGCCTGGTGATTCTGGGGCTAGCCTGATCTCATTTTGAAACTTGCCCTGGTCTCTTGTTAGTCTGTGACTTTGAGGAAGTTGCTCAACCTCTCTGAGCCTCAGTATCCTCACTGGGTAATATTATCAACATTGTAAGATGATGATGCAAATTAGAGATGACATAGTGAAAAAAATCCAACCCCACAGCTAGTAAATTAATGGTATTAACTGGTGTCTAGGTTCAACACTGTGAAAATATAGACAATATGATAGGGCAGGAGGCAGCATTCAAGAAAGCAAGTGGTGCATTGGCTGGCGTGGGTCAGTGCCTTGAGCACCAGCCTGAGAACCGAGAGGTCGCTGGTTCGATTCCCAGTCAAGGCTTGTGCCTGGGTTGTGGGCCAGGTCCCTGGTTGCGGGTGTATGAGAGGCGACTGATCGATGTGTCTCTCACACATCAATGTTTCTGTCCCTCTCTTCCTCCTCTTCCCCTCTCTCTAAAAGTAAATAAATAAAATCAAAGAAAGAGAAAAAGAAAGAAATTAAGCTAGATCAGAAAGCAGGATTCCTTGGGCCCTCCAGCGGAGGACATGGCAGTGAGCACAGGCACAGAGGCATGAACTGCACCGTGGGGCTGGGGGCACTGGAGAGTGGCAGGAGATGGGGGAAGGGTGGCCTGGAGCTTGCCTTGGTCCTGCAGGCAAGCACACCTCTGCAGACAAGCAAGTTTTCAGGAAGATGAGAGACACTGTAGTTTGTTTCCTGGCCATGACACAAAGCAACCTTGAATGGCGTGATGAGAGAGTTAATTCCTGCCCCCACTTTTTGTGAGAACAAATCCTTTTTATTTACTTTTCAATAAATTTAAATCCTCAAGGGGTACAGCATTACATGGGTTCTGTGTCCAATGACCTCAGCAGGAAGGTTGCTTCGCAATTTAGCACGAACCAGACACTGTTTCCATGTGCATGAGTTACCTTTCCCCAGATGACCTTGGCTTCGTTCAGTTTGCCACCAGGAGTCACTGTGTTGTTCCTGGCTTTGTGCACATAAGCACATCTCTTGCCTAGACAGAACTCAGTTTCATCTCGAGCACAAACACCTTCAACTTTAAGAAGAGCTATGCTTATAGCCAGCAAAAATGGCCTTGCACTATAGCTTTCCAGACATATCTGTCATCATGGAAGTCCTGTTCCCTGCAGCCTCCACAGGTTTGTCCAAGCTGGTAGAAAGACGAAGGCCACTTTTCAATTCTCTTTCAAGCCTTTCATTCCATCAAGGGAAAGCCTCAGCTTTTCATATTTAACACCTGTGATCCTCACAGGCCTCCAAGCGGCTGCTTTCAGCAGGCAACTGCAACCACCAACAATTCCCTGACATTGTTAGGTTTTGTTGTTTTGTTTTTATGCTTATCTTCTATGCAGAAAAGTGCCTTTCTGCTTACAGGGTGGCAAAAAATTTTCCTTGTAAACTACATTTAAAAGCAAGCCATTTAAAGGAAAATGCTAAAGAACTGCAGTTACATGGTGAGAGCAGAAAGGGCAAAAGTCACAAAGGTTATACTCCACAGACCATCTTTAGGAAATACTGCTGAGGGTGTTACGAAGTCACCCAAACTCTGAGCCATGGAGCGTCATGGCCAAATTTGAGTCTTAGAGAGACAACCATGACTGAAGGAAGAGCCAGGTGTCCAGGCCTGGTCAGCAGAGCCAGTCAGGGTAAAGTTGGTCCCAGGGCTGTGGAAGGATTGGAGGGGAGATATCCTGGAGACAGGATGGGGTTTGGGACCTGCTGTGTGCTGGCAGAGGAAGAGGAGGCATTCATGTCTGTCCTGTCAGTCGTGACTGTCCAGATGAGTGCCTGTCAATCAGATTTAGATGTTTCTATCATCTCACATCATACCAGGAGCTTTATGCGCCAATGTTCCAACCCCTGCCTCTCTCCCAACTGTCTAGTGTGCCTGGGCTCTGTGTGGCCCTGCAGGGTGACCCAGCTGCACGGCGTGCCAGCTGACAACTCAGGATCTCAGACCAGGGTGACCAAGGGCCTGGTTTGCCCTTGCACTGCAGCTGAGGGGTTTCCCAAAACAGGAGACTTTCAGTGGTAAAACAGGGACAGTCCTGGGAAATCTGGGAGGTCCTGGTCATCCAACCTCAGATGGTACTTGTGGGATGGAGCTCTGGGCCAGATCCTGGGGGGCTGGAGCTGCCGGCCTCTGGGGCCAAAGTGAGAAGGGCACAGCCTGCATGGACCTGTGCCCAGGCAGTCAGGTCATGTTCAGATGGACAGCACCATGACCTCAGAGCCAGTCCCCAACCTTCACAAAAAGGCTCAGTGACCTTAGTCCTTTCCAAGAAAATGTTTCACTCTGATTGGAAGCCTCCTGTTCAAGTTGGAGACTTCAAAGCCCACAAAGATGCTTCTTTCTAGGCTTGGCAACTGTTCTCAAAGGAAAGTCTCCAACGCTGACATGGGGGCCCCACAAGACTGCCTCTACCTCATCCTCCAACAACAATGTCCCAGATTCTCTGAAGTGCTCCTTGTACCCTAGCAGACATGGCCTGATCAGGGTCCCATGCCTGGCCCGCTTCTTCCCATTCTGTCCTCTCCTCCTCCCGTTCCAGCCTAAAGGACTCCCCTCACACATCTTCCTGTGCTTGAACTCCACCTAAACTTGATGGTTTGGCTCAGTGCACTTCTCCATGAAGCCTCCCCATATCCTCCTGGTGGAAGATACTCCTGGCTTCCCTGATCCTCTTCCAAAGCCTGACCTCACCTGCAGCGGCCAGTCAGGCCTATCTTTGTCCCCCAATGCACACACACTCAGGAGTCGGCATAAGGAATCAACACATAAATGATCTGACACATAAATGATCAAACCCATGATGCTTAATTGGGAGAAGTTCCAACTGTCTCTCCGCCATCACATGGGGACAGCAAGGAGGCTCATACACTGAGCCAAAGTCACTCAGCTGTCCCAGGAGCAGACAAGGTGAATGAGACACTCACTGTCTAGGAAAGGCTACTGGGTCTGCCCGACAATTCCCGAGTGACCACCATGTAGCACAGGACCAAGACCACAGGGTGCTTTCGGAATGTGTCGTGGAAGGTGTGGCCCAACTGGGGTCACAAAGGCTTCCCAAAGCATGGGACACTTGAGCTGAGACACAAGGATGTGGCAATCTCGGAAGTGAAAGCAAGGGGTTTGGGAGTCAAGGCACATACTCCGTCTCTGCCCCTCCACCCTCTGGCCTGTGATCACCCGCCTCAGTTCCTCAGTTTCTGCATCAGCACAGCCGGCTGCTGTGAGGATTTGAGGGGATAAGGGAAGGAAAGCCCTCAGCACATGGCCAAGCCCTCCCCAAACATGGAGGATTACTGCTGTCAGTATCACCCAGACAGCTCACAGGAGGCAGAGCATTCTAGGCGGCCAGACCCCTGAGCCCAGGCTGCACTGGACCATAATCCTGCCTCCTGATTGGCCCCAACCAGGAGGGAGGAGAAATGGGGCTAGACTGCCAGGCAGACTGGCCCAGGTCAGACCTTGGGGTTTGAACAGAGCAGAAACCAGGCCAAGTGACCCAGGGATGCAAGGGGGAAGGAAGCTAGAAGAAGAGAACAACCGAGGGCATGGCCGAGGATGGGCCTGGGCAGAGTATGAGACGAAGAACAGATAGAGCAAGAGAACATCCTCTCCTGTCCCACAACCCTCCAGAGCTGCTGCGGGGAGTTAGTGTGATGACTTCCCATGACGGGTGCAGCAGGGTTCTGACATTTATAGGCCACAGGTCTCTTCAGGGCCAGCTGGGTATTTAAAAGCTTCTCTGAAAGCCACCCCATTAGGGGAAGGAGCCAACCACAAACCGGAAACCAGTGAGGTGTGCAAATACCTACATCACTTCTCAGCAGGAAGGAGCTGGGGTGAAGCAAGATGAGACGAAGGCCCTGGACCCCTGCTGCCCAGCCACCCAGCAGGACCCACACTGTGAGGAATCAAAGGCCATCTGGGGTGCTTGGGAACACAGGTCCTTTTTGGTCACACTAGCCTGCCTGCCTTTCCTTAAACACACCAATCTGTTTGCAACTCCAGACTTTTGCTTTTCCTATTTACAGACCACTTATTACTGGCTCCATTGCACCATTCAGGGCTCACCTCAGGTGCCACCTCCTCCTAGCGGCCTCTCCTGAGCACCTAGTCTAAATGAGCCCACTCCCCGTATCTACTGTGCTCTCCCCCCAGATCCCCACACAGCTAAACCCCTCACCTCTGCAGGTCTTTGCTTCTCTGCTCAGGTGCCACCTCATTCCTGAAGCTTTCCCTGAACACCCTATTTAAAACCATACACTCTCAGCTCTCGTCCTGTCTCCCTGCTTTCCCCTTCTCTGTCTCACACCCTAGATCTTCCATCGCTGTTTACTGTTTTATTCTCCCCACTAGGATGTCAGCTCCAGGAGGGCACAGATTATTGTAGATTTGTTCACCGCTGTATTGCCAGCATCTAGACAAGTACCTGGCACACAGGAGGGTCTCAATAAATGTTTGATGAGTCAGTGAATAAATGTATCTGAATGTTTAAGAGTAGGGGCTCTAGTCAGGCTGCCTGGGGCCTCATCCCAGCTCTTCCACTTACTGTGTGATCTTGGACCATTTAGTTAACTTCTCTAAGACTCCATTTAATCATAAAAGGCAAATAAAAACAGTACTCACCTCATAGGATTATTGACTAATTAAATAAGATCATGCATATAAAAAGGTGAAAACAGTGCTTGGCACCCAGGAAGCACTCCATACTATGCTGGCTGCCATCACAGCCTTCACCTGCTAGCATTTCTTGTTTATCTGCTCACTTATTTATCATCTGTCTCCTCCATTCTAGTGTGGCTTCGGCCTGCCTTGCTCGTACTGGACCCCTAGGGCCTAACATAGTTTGGGAAGGGAAAACCAAGCCTCCTCTCAAATCAGGGCACATGGACCTGGGGGACACAGCTTCAGTTGAAGTAGAAGCCTCACCGATCTGTTTCTCCAGGGCAGCTGCTTCACAGACGGTGGCCCGGGGCAGGATCCCAGGGTCGGTGAAACTTGTCTGTAGCAGGCAGCTCATGACGAAGAAGAAGAGGATGGCAGCAATGATGGGGATGGCAAGGGTCAGTTGGTGGGCCAGGTAGGGACAACTAGAGAGAAAGAGAGAGAGAGATGAGCGGCTACCCCAAGGGTTCCCTGGGCACAGGGCACTAGGCAGGTGTTGTCATCCCAGCAAACAGCACCATATTCTTGAATAGAGCCTCTCCCCGGAGGCAGCAGCCACTCCCCCATAGGAGCCTGACATCACTAATTAATCTTTGCACTTTCACCCTGAGGCATGGCAGATATGGTAAGTAGATCCCAGCACTCTTAACCCTTACAATTAGTGCAGCCTCAGAATCCTCCTAAACGCAGAGCCCCAGGCAGCTACTACCAACCAATTGGAATGTCACTTGAGATGAAGCATCCACGACAGTCACTCACTCACTCCACAAATATTTACTGAGGCCTTCTATGTGCCAGGCAACACCTTCGAGAAGAAGCAGGCATACTGGCAGTGAATAAGACAGGAGTCCCCTGCTCCCTCGATGAGGCTTAGGGTCTAGTGAGGAGAACAGATATGCAAACAAAGAGCTTTGCAGGCTACAGTGGTAAGGGGAGGGCAGCAGAACAGTCAGGAAGACAGGCTGGCTATGGAGATGCCTACACTAAACCCTGAGGAATGAGTAGGATCAGCCAGGTCCCCAGTCCCCTCAGAAGGGGGCTGGAGAAAAACATGGTCGTCACTGACATCGTTGCCCAAAGGCCAGTGTCCCAAGTCAGTTCTGTCAGGCCCCTGACCCCAGCTGGCTTCCAGAGCACCTTGTGCACAAGACTGATTTTGAGGCCAAACCGCATTATTAACCACTGCCCTCTGCTGCCTTCCCTCCCAGAGCCATAGCGGCACCTGATGGGGTGAGGAGCTGCTATTTGGGAGATGACTGGCCACTGGGAGGCCCGAATCAGTCAAGGTTCCAGGAGCTAACATAACAGCAGGAAGCAAACATGTGGGCACCTACGTGCTCCTTCTGGAGCCTCCATCGTTGGAGGCTCTGGCCTCCAGAGAGGTCCATCCCTTGAGGAGCAGAGACTTTCAAGGCCAAGAGCTCCAAGTGAGACACATTCTGCTCCAAACATCTTCGTGTTCCCTAGATCCAAACCTCAAACAGAGCTGAGCCCTCCATGTCACCCACGTGACAACTCAACCAGATTTCTTGGAGGATAGAGGAGACTTGAAATTGGAGACTTGTAGAGCCCTCAGAAACACCAAGCCCCAACCCGCTGATTTTACAAAGGGGGACTCCAAAACCCACAGCCAGATGCAAGGTCACCCAGCCAGTGACGGGACTGAGGTCTTCAGGTTCCCAGCAATGCCCTGTCCATTCATTTGAAAAACATTTACTGTACTGAGTGTCTGCTACACACCAGGCCCTGCTCTAGGCACTAAGAATGCCACAGTGAGGAGAATGAAATCTTGCTCCCATGGAGAAAGGCACGAAACAACAAAAAGTATACATATGGTATGTCAGATGAGAACAGTAAGTCTGGGCAGAGGGAATTTGGGACAGGTCCTCGTTTGCTGCATTATGGGGATGGTCAAGAAAGGACAGAAGAGAGTGAGCCTTGAGGCTACTACCTACAGGTGCAAGGGCGGGGGTTAGGAGTGTGCAAGGAGTCCAGTGTGCCTGAAGGGAAATGCACAAGGGTAGCAGGAAGAGATGGAAACCAGGAGGAAGCCGGTTATCGGGACTTTGGCCCTCATCCAAGGAGCCAGGGAGGACTCAAGGTCTGACTTACAATTACAGATGCACTCTGGCTGTTCTCTGTGGTGGGAAACAGGGCAGAAGCCCTGCTTGGAGGCCTGTGCAATAATATGCCAAACCAAACAACAGAGCAAAACCATTCTCGGCAGGAAGGACCTAGAGAGCCACCTTTCCCTTTCCCCAGAGCAATAGGTGAGCACCCTCACCAACACCATTCCCATTATGCCAGCTGCCTACCGAGCTTTCATCCCAGTCCAGACTGACGTGAGCTCTTGGCCCGAACCCAAACCTCCCTGCTAAGTCCACCACCCCAAGTGAGGAGGAGCAAAGAGAAAGGCAAGATGTTTCACAAGCTCTCCCCAAACTCAGAATTCCTTGCTTCCTCCTTCTCTGGGGTCAAGTCTGTCCCAAGTGAAGACACCCACTCGGCCCAGAGAACATCCTGCTTCCAAAATGACAAAATCCCACATGGCAGGTCATGAGGCCAACCCATGGCAAGCACCGCTTCCTCCTGCCCTCCTGCCCTTGTGGCAGCCCTGGTGGGAAGACCTGGGCAGGATACTGGAAAATGTACTATCAAAACACCCCTGTGGGCTGTCTCAGCAACACAGATGTGAAACTCAGCCCAGAGCCATGGGACAGGGGGGTAGAGTGGGAGGGGCATCACTGGGGGGCCCTCAGAGCTTCTGCTTGCTAAAACTATCCCAGAACTTTGTATCCACCCTGACTCAGAAGGGAAGGGTGAAAGGGAGAAGCTAAGTGGTAGGAACTCCTCTCCTCGCTTCAAGGGGAAACCCGTTCTGGCTGGGTGGCTCGGTTGGTTGGAGTGTTGTCCCCATACACCAACAGACTGTGGGTTAGATTCCTAGTCAGGGCACATAGGTAACTGATCAATGTTTCTCTTTCACATTCATGTTTCTTTTTTTCTCTCTCTCTCCCTTCCTCTCTCTAAAATTAATAAACATATCCTCAGGTAAGGATAAAAAAAGGCAGGGACACAAAACCCAAGGTCGAAGATTCATAATCAGGCAGCTGGAAAGGGTTCCCCAGGGACTGATGTCTTTGTAGCAGACTCATTCATCATGGCCACAGGCCCCGGGGATGAGTTTTTGGCAAAGACAACAACAACAGCAGCAGCCAGCATTTTCTTATTATAGGCTAAAAGCTAAGTGCGTGGCCTCATGACAACCTTAGGGAGTGGGTACTGTTATATTCCCCACTTTACAGATGAGGAAACTGAAGCTCTGATGGGTGAAGTGACTGCCCCAAAGTCCCACAGTTAGTGTGTGGTGGATCTGGGATTTGAACCAAGTCTCTTGGCTCTAGAGATGGTGTTCTTAACTACATTGTATTATGAAGTAAGACCACAAAAACTGGGGGGAACTAGGAGGGGGAAGTGAAGCTCATACAGCGTGCAGTGGGTGTGTATGTGTGCACATGTATGCGTGCAAGGAATCACGTAGCAAGTGGCTGAAGCTAGAGACCAAGGGTAGGGTGGGAAACTTCTGATACAAATGTTACCCTGGTAAAATGATGTGTGTCCCCTCCTCATCCATAAACTGGGGGTACCATGTGGGCCAATCCTGGGGATATGAAGAGGTTAAAATCCACAGGGGCAAACATGACTTGTCACATGAAAGTACTATGGACTCTACTAAAAAATAAAGAGGCACTACAGCCATGGAACAGGCCAGAGGGATGCTCCAAATGTTAAGTGGGTTAAAAAAAACAGGAGGTCAGGAGGTGGGGGACAGGGGCTTAAGAGAAGTCTAGTGGGAGACAGGAGGAGACTGAGGAAGGACAGAAAGCTCTAGAGAAGGTGCTGGACAGGGAAAGGGAGGCCTGAGAGGCCCAAAGATATTACATTTGAAGGAAGATTGCCTGAGGACCCAGGCCATGAGGCAGAAGAAAGGGAGAGGGTCTGAGAGTAGAGAGATGAGCAAGGGGACCCTAGAAAGAAGGACCCTGAAGGGAATGGGGAAGACGGCTACGAAATCTGTGGTGAGGAATATATAGCCAAAGGCCATGGAAGAATCTCAGAAGATACCTGGAAGGAATATTCAGAAAACATGCCTCCAAGTCAGGAAGAACCTAGGGGGTGGGCCAGAGCCAGTCCTGGGGATAGGTGAGGAGAGGGGATCTGCCCAAGGAGCCGGGGAGGGCTGGGGTGGGGTGGAAGATTCTGAGAGGGCAGAGAGGATGGGGGTCAAGGGACTTGGGAGGGCAGTGCTGCTGGCAAAGGCAGGGTGTCAGGGAAGGATGGGGGTTCGAGGGTGGGGCCACAGAGGGTGAGGTGGCTGGGAGGGCGGACGGGGACCAGGGAGGAAGATAAGAAGTAGGCAAGGTGCTGGAGAGAGGCCTGAAGGCAGACTCGGAGGTACAGAGAGGATGCAGGCCCCAGGGGGGCCAGGAGTGAAAGCTGCCTGTCAGGTGCTGGGAAGGGTGGAGTCCCGGAGAAGTGGGATGGGATAGGTACCCAACGAGGCCCAGAAGGATCGGGTGGCCATCAAAGGCTGGGGAAGGTGGGATGCGCGACAGGGGATGGAGGAGGCTGGAGGGGATGGGACGCCTGAGGGGGTGGGGACAGGGGGTGCCCCCGAACTCACTCGAAGACGAAGAAGAGGACCGTGGTGGTGAGGATGAGCAGCAGCGTGAGCGCGAAGACGCCGCCGTGGCCGGCCAGCATGAGGCGGCCGCCGCAGTAGAAGCGGTTGCGGCCGGGGAACACCTCCCACTTGCGCCGAGGGCGGTGGCCGAGGCTCCCGCTGCCGCTGCCGCTGCCGCTCCAGCGCGGTGCAGTGGCGGGCGGCGGGGGCCCGGGGCCCGGACCGGGGGGCGCGGCGGGGCCGGGGCGGCGCGCCCCGGGGGAGGCGGGCGGCGGGGCGGCCCCGGGGCTGATCTGCTGGTACTCGCAGTCCTTCATGCGGCCGGCCGCGGGCCTCCGCTCCGCGCCCCGCGGGCCGGCCGCGCAGCACCGGACCGGGCCGAGCAGCGGAGGTGGCGACGGCGGCGGCGGCGCGCGCACGGCGATAGCTCACTCGCTGGGGGCGGCCCCGCCCCGCCCTGCCCCCGCCGCCGCCGCGGCCTCCCGCCGCAGCGCCCCCTCGGCCTGGGCCCGGGAAGGCGCTCCGACCCGCCGCCGGGTCCTGCCTGACCTGCTGCAGCGTGCCGGCCAGTCCTTGCGGCCCCTAAAGCGGCCCGGTCCGTTCTGCACAATGACAGGGCAGCAGATGAGGTCTCGAGGTCTTTCTGTTCCTTTTCAAGCAAACCATTTGTTGGGCGTCCCGTTTGCGCCGGGCACCGTGCCAAGCGCTGAGGTTGGGATGGTGGACTTCGTGATTTTCTGTAGTCTGTAATTCCAGGGCCAGGCTTCACCTACTTCTTGATGACTGACTAGGCAGGCATTTTACGGGACAAGCAGGAGTGCGTGTGGGGACACAATCTTCTTTGAAAGCCTGTTAACTGCCTTGAATTTCAAAGTGCCCGGTAGTTGTATGTGTGGGCGGCGGGGGCGGGGAGCGTATGCGCAGGCCGTCCTCACCCAACTCCGTGATCCTAGGTGTCCCTTCATGTGAAGTTCACACCTCATGGCCCCAGTGTCTTTCAGGAATTCTCGGTGAGTTCATTTTCTATTGGTGTGTAACACATTACCACAATTTAGCAGCCTAGGACCACACACATTACCTCACATGTTCCAGGTCAGGAGCCCCCACACAGCTCAGCGGAGTCCTTTGCGTCAAGTCTCAGAGAAGGCTACATTCAAGGTGTCAGCCGGGCTGCAGTCTCTCCTGGAGACTCAGCTGGGAAAGAATCCGCTTGCAAGCCCATTCAGGTTGTTGGCAGAACTTACTTCCTTGGGAATATATGACTGAGGCCCTAGGATTTTTGCTGGCTGTCAGCTGGAGGTGTCCCTCAGCCACCTGCAGTTCCTGGAGGTTAGCATAGTTCCATGTCATGTGGGCTTCTCCAACATGGCTGCTTACTTCATCAAGCCCACAGGGCGAGTCTATACCTCTAGTCTGCTAAGACACTTATATAGTGTAACTTATTTCACAGTTGACACTTGAACACCATGGGTTTGAAATGCACACAGATATTTTTTTTTTCAATAAATACCTGTACCTTTCATCCACAGTTGGGAGTCCACAATGAGGAGGGCTGATGTATGCCATTTTCTATATGGGATTTGAGCATCCTCGGATTTTAGTATCTGCCTGGATCCTGAAACTAATTCCCCATGGATACCAAGGGACCACTAAGTTTTTAGGGAGTCGAAAGTGAAACGTGTATTTTTTATTGCACAGGGGTAGGCGCTCCCAGCCTCCACATCGTTCAAAGGTCAACTGTATATGTAACAAGAGTGACATCCCATCACCTTTGGCATATTCCATAGATTAGAAGAAAGTCACAGGTCCCATTTTAACTCAAGAGCAGAGGATTACACAAAAGTGTGAATACCAGGAGGCAGGAATCACTGAGGGTCAGTTAGGGTCTGTGCACCAGACTGAGGTTATTGGAAAACCTAAGTAAAAATATAGGAAAAAGGAGAGCTGGAGCCCTGGCTGGTGTGGCTCAGTGGACTGAGTGCCGGACTGCAAACTGAAAGGTCGCTGGTTCGATTCCATGTCAGCACATGCCTGGGTTGTGGGCCAGGTGCCCATCTGTGGGGCAGGGGCATGTGAGAGGCAACCCATCGATGTATCCTTCATCAATGTATCTCTTTCTCCTTCCCTGTCTCTCTGAAAAGAAATACAATATAAAATAATCATAATAAAAAGAAAGAAAAGGGAGAGCTGGAGACTAGGGTAGGAGAGAGGAAGGAAGGACGTCAAAATATACCATGGAAAGTGGAAAGGCAATAACAGTAACCTCAAGGATCACTAATTGTGGTACACATGTCCAAGGCCACCCTCTTGGTGCCAAAGATTCTGGATTTGATGAGCCCCACCTTGAAGGAGTCAACCAAGTTGTGGGCTTTCTCTCCTCTCACTCCTTGGCTATGGAACAAAGTCACAAAAACTGGACATACTGGTTCCAGTACACATTCCTGCTGTCCCACTTCAACTGGGTCCTCTTAAAACCCTAAACCTTCTCTTGTTCCTTGTCACTTCACGGAAACCAACTTAATTTTCAGCTTCCCTCCTCTCTGCCTCATAATTTGTGTTTGAATCTATCCTTTCTTCACATCTTGAAAATGTGGACCTCTGGCTCTGGCCAGGTAGCTCAGTTGGTTAGAGCTTGTCCTGATATGCCAGGGTTGTGAGTTCGATCCCTAGTTGGGGCACATGCAGGAATCAACCAATAAATGCAAAAATAAGTGGAACAACACAAATTGATGTTCTCTCTCTCAATCAATAAATTTGTATTTTTTAAAATTTTTATTTATTTATTTTTAGAGAGAGGGGGAGGGAGGGAGGAAGAGGGAGATAAACATCAATGTGTGGTTGCCTCTTGCATACCCCCCACTAAGGACCTGGCCTGCAACCCAGGCATGTGCCCTGACTGGGAATCGAACCAGTGATCCTTTGGTTCACAAGCTGGTACTCAGTCCACTGAGCCACACCAGCCAGGCCCTAATCAATAAATAAATTTTTAAATAAATTTAATGTGGACTTCCCTCAGCCCACAGTCAATTCATGTCTTATCTCTCCTGCTCACTGAGACTGCAAGCTCATACTCAACTCTCTATCAATTAAAAAGCAAAACTAAGCTAAAACACCAACAACTGAAACTGCTTTCCATGCTTGGCTACCTCCTTCCTCTATCTTCAGGTTTATCTTTTTCTGTCTCATTAGAGTCATATTAAAGAGCAGCTACCATTTCCTGGCCACCTATTCATTTCTTAACTTCTTATAATTTATCCTGTCTACATCACTCTCCTAAAACTTCTATCTTAAATGTCCCTAGTGACCAATTTTGTGTGGCATAAACTACTCATTCACCAATACCCATAGTTCCCAAGCTCTCTTACAGATAGAAGTGACTGAATTCTGACTAATGAAATGTGACTGGAAGTGATAGCTTGGCCCATAAAACTCCCAGGTGCTGGCCCTTGCTCTCCTTCCTGTCTGCTAGCAGAATACAGGAGACTCTGAGAACCTAGAAGAAAGTCAAACTAGATATCCCCATTCCAAGTTTCAGGGTCCCACTCCTCAATCACAGAAGATTTAGTAAGACTAAATTAAACTGATGTAACTCCGCACCATGCATAATTTTTTATTTTATTTCTAGCAAGTAAGTCTGGTGCTTACAAGAAATAAGACATTATTTTATGGCTATCATGGAATGTCTATGATTCTCTGACCATGACTTGAGGGAGGAGTTTAAAGACTGAAATTTGTCATTTACTGCAAGGACTCTGATACATTCAGAAGAATTCCTCCCACACCAAATCCCTGTAGTCATCATCACTGCTACAACAGTCAAGTGCAACAACCACTTGGGTCCCCAAGGCACTTGCTCTAGTTGGCACTTTATCACAAATAACCCTAGGTGATAATTTGATTAATCACGATGCCACAGCATGCCATGGATTAGTAGCATCACGTTTCTCATTGGCAAGGAGCTTAACACATTCAAACTCAATGGCACAACCAAACCAGTTTCCTAATCCTATCTTTTGAGGTTACTTCCTGGGATCACTACTAGTACCAATTTCAATAGCAGTCAGTGTCCAGCCAATGAGACAGAAACCACACCAGCCATTGGACAGGGAGAACTTAATATAAAGAATGGTTGAATGGTTGACTAAGTATAGAGTTGTTAACTAGATAACTGGAAGGGTAAAAAAAAAAACCCTCTGAGATATCATGGGGACAGCAACAGCAGGAAGCATCTGTAATTCCTAGAGCTAGGAGAGCAAAGAGAAGAGTTTGGAATTACTAAAACTTAGACACTTAGGAGAGGGGCCCTACAGAGCTGACACTCAGACCTCCAAGTCTGGTGCTGATATCTCTGAACTTGGAAGAGGGACCAACACCTCTGAGAAAAGGGGTGCTACCCAGTTGGTGCTGGTGTTTCTGAGGGGGACACTCTGAAGCTGTTTCTGCAAATATTGGAAAAAACTTCAAAGTGGCCCTGGCTGGTGTGGCTCAGTGGTCTGAGTACTGGCCTGAGAACTGAAAGGTCACTGGTTTGATTCCCAGTCAGGGCACATGTGTGGGTTGCAGGCCAAGTCCCACTTGGTGGCATGTGAGAAGCAACCTATGATGTTTCTCTCCCTGTCTTTCTCCCTCCCTTTCCCTCTCTCTAGAAATGAATAAATAAAATATTTTTTTAAAAAATTGCCAAGTGCATTCAGCTCCTGCTATAGGAAGGAACTGCTATTGCCAGGATGTAGGAGAATTGCTGGGGTGACTTCACAGGAACAGGAAGCAAACAGGAGTCCTTTCTTCCTCCTCCGTCCTCACTAGCTCCCTCTGGTGGCCCTTATGGGCAGAGCCACACATAGACCCCGCTGACAGCAGAGAAATGTTATACGCAGCATCCCAGCTCCAGTATCTCAAAAGTGGAAAGTAGAAGGGAGGTTTTGGAGGTGAAAGACAGTAACTTAATAACTAGCACAGGTTCCTTTATAAAGTGTTAGAAGGAAGAGGTGGACTTAGGTGATAATTAGCTGGTATTCAAGCAGACATGGAAAGGAAATACAGGGTGCAGCAAAAGTAGGTTTATAGTTGTGAGTACACAAAAGTTTATTCTTGTATTATTATTGTGTATTAACTATTGTATTACTTTCCATATGAGCAACTGTAAGCCTACTTTTGCCTGAACCTGTAGAGGAAGTCTAGATGTGATGGGCATTTCAGGATGGGAAAAGTTGACTGATTCTGGACAACAAATAGTATAAGATTGGAAAATGTCTTGAACCACTGGAATTGAAAGATGTGATCACCTCTAAGGCAAACATCAGGTGAAGAGCATGACCTTCCCACTTATTAATTCACACAGCTTTAATGGAGCCACTATTACATTGAGAGTGAGGAAAGGGGGTGAACAAGCAAATAAGTAATCAGGTTGAGAAGTCTATCTAGGAAAGAACTTGAGTGTGGTTAGTGTCACGTGGATCTGACTAGAAGCTAACAGAGCAGAAATCTATTGTGTTAGTTATATGTGTCAACTTGACTAGACCAGAGTATGCAGATATTTGGTCAAATATTATTCTAGATGTTTCCATGAAGGTATTTTTTAAAAATGAGATTGACATTTAAATCAGTAGGCTTTGAGCAAAGTAAATTATTTTCCATAAGGTAGGTGGGCCCCATCTAATCAGTTGAAGGTCTTAATGGGTGTGTGTGGGAGGGGTGGGAATCCCAATAGACTTCCCCCTGAGAAAGAGGGAATTCTACCAGCATATTGTTTTTGGACTCAAACTGCAGCGTCAACTCTTTCATGGGTCTTCAGCTGCTGGCTACCCTGCGGATTTTAGACTTGCCAGCCTCCACAATCCTGAGCCAGTACCTTACAATCAAACTCTCTCTCTCTCTCTCTCTCTCTCTCTCTCTCTCTCTCTCTCTCTCTCCCCTCTCTCCCTCCCTCCCTCTCTCTCTCAGAGGGCAGAGCCACAAAATGGAAGAAGCCAGGGTCCCAAGTGACTGGGTAAAACAGGCTTCCCTCTCCAAACCTGCATTATACTACAGTGTAAACAAGAAAAAAACTTTTATTTTTAAGATACTGAATTTTGGGAGCTGTTATAGCAGCAGTTAGTGGATTTTTCTCATCCTTTCTTTAATCTTAATAGCATGATCCTGGTAACAATTTCTTTCTTCTTGAAACTCTCTCTTTCCATGAAGCTATTTGTTTATAGTCCTTTAGTGATGATGATAATGATAATAATGATAGCTACCATTTGTGAAATTCTTTCTTTTTTGTTTTTCATGAAGGTCTGTGTGTCAGACAGACCTAATGCTTTATTTAGTGTCTCTTTTAATCCTCATGACTACTCTGTGTGATAGGTGCTAACACCCCTATTTTAGAGATGAGAAAAGTTTTAGAAAAGTTGAGTCACTTGCCCAAGGTCTTATAGACCCCCTTCTCTCTCCACACTTTTCCTTTTGACAATCAAATCCAATCTCATGGCTGCTGTAATTATCATGTCTGGGTAGAAGACTCTCTGAGCCCTTTCCTTGTCTCTAGTTCCACATTTCCTGGCATATGAATGTGCTGATGGCATTATAAACTCAGTATGTCCAAATGCAGCTATTCCCTTGTTAGTACTGTTTTAAACACTTTTCATTTAATACCCACAACAAGCCTGAGATAGATAATGTCATCATTCACATCTATGAGCTATAGTGTTACCCGCATTCTACAGAGGAGTAAACTGAGGACTAGAGACTTAATATCTGGCTCCTATTTACACAACTAGTACACAGTAGGGCTGGTCTTAGGGCTGATTTCAAGGCCTAGATCTCAATAATGACAATACCTCAGTTCCACTCAAACTAAGCTCTTCCTGTCCTGTTCCATTTTCTGCTTCCTATACTCATTCTCTACACTTAACTTTCAAATCTTATCTGTCCTTCAGAGTCCAGCCCAAAGGCCATTTGTCCATGAAGCGTTTTCAGGTATTCCAAGCTGGAACGGATCTCCACTTTGTTTGAATTTACAGAGTATTTACTCTGTAACTCACTTACATTTTCCTGAGCATACCAGTAAAACTTTAATTCACCTTGATCATAAAAAGTTAAAGCAGAGTGATACACAGAGAGACATTTAAGTATCCCTTTATTTCCCAGAATTAATCAGTTTCTGTCTTGATTAATATTTCTGTGTATCTGTCAGTAACTCTGTGAGGCAGTTATTTGAGGATGGGAGGTATAGTGAATCATTTTATTCCCCAAAAGTAAGAATAAACAATTGCTGAAAGAATCAGTCAACTTGAAATGCCTTGAGCTTGCACACATTATATTTTTAGATGAAAGTAAGAGGGCCTGTTCAAGAAAAGGAGTGATTTCCCCGCGACCCCCCACCCCCCCACCAGGGGGACTGGTGAAGACATGTCAAACACTCCCCCTCCTCCCACCTTCACTGAAGAACAAAAAAAGAATCAACTTCTAGATACACGAAGCTCTGGTTTCTGTTTTAGCTGGGTCTCAGAAGGAAATTACTTTTCTCTGAAATTGTAGAAGCCCAACCCAGCTGCAGCATTGTTAGACCTCAGGGTAAACAGGAAGCTTCCTGCCTTGGGCCCTTCATGTCCCTCTCCCAGACTGTTAAAGACTGTTAGTAGGATGGTAAAAGGACAGCTGCTGGCCATAAAATCAGCTCATTCCTTAGATCCTTAGAGAAGAACAACTCCATCCCTCCAAGGTCAAAGAGAAAACTGTGTCGTCTTTAGGTCACACAGGTGCGTCCACCTAGCTGCGGTCCTGTTATATCTTCCATGGTTAACTGAAACCATAATGGTCTTTGCTGAATACCAGAGTGATTTAGTTGAGAAGATGGAATTCTCATTTATAGGGTCTATAGTCCTTGAAATCACTTTTTTTTTTCTGGGGGTGATGAGGTCTAGTATAAAGGTGAAGCTGAGACTGCCAGAGCAGTGAAATCACTCCCTCCCCTGTGGAGTGATTATCCACCAAGAAGAGGCAGAGGAGAATGCATGAGAGCAGAATCTAGTGCTCCTTCCTCTGCAATGAAGAGCCGAAACAGGACCTCAGCTCTTCCTGCACGCAGGGTGGAAGTCCCTGGATTTGCAGCTGTTGGTGAGGAGGGAGGGAACAATTTCTGCCAACTGGAAGGACACTAGGGCAGGGATGATCTTTTGCCAAGAAGGGCACTTGGGTGTCTTGGCAGAAGGCAGAGGGCTGCCCCAGTCTGTGTGTACATTTTCAGAAGCATTTGACTCTGGACCAAATTCTCTCAGCTGTGCTAAAGCTGGGGCAATGGACGGGAAATGCTTATTGGCTAGGCTGGCTAGAAGCTCCAACAGAGGGTGCTGGGACTCAGCCAGGAGCTTCCCTTCTGCTGGCAAGTTTAGCTTTCTGTCATGGTCAGAGGGAGTGTGTCAAAATTCCAATTCTCAGGGCTCTCCAGAAGCTGCTTATGATTAACTACTTATTTTGATGGAGTTTTTTTTTTTCTCAAATGGGGAATGAGTGGTGATGCAGAGAGCCTCTTACTTGGCTCAAAGAGTAGGCAACACTAGCCAGTGTGGTTCAGTTGGTTGGAGTGTCATCCAGTAAACTGAAAGGTCACAAGTTCAATTCCAAGTCAGGGAACATGCCTAGGTTGTGGATTTGGTCCCTGAATGGTTCTCTCTCTCCCATCACATCAGTATTTTTCTCCCTCCCTTCCCTTCTTACTAAAAATCAATAGGCATATCCTCTGGTGAGTATAAAAATAAGAACAAGCAAAAAATTGTCCAGCAGGAGTGAAGGATCTTACTACCACTAAATGAATGCGCTCATAACCCATGGGGCCAGTCAGATACCATTTCATTCAACCTTGGAGTTAACTACAATTTTTCAGTTCATGCTGCTATGTGGGCTCCTCTGACCCATGTCTACCAATCAAGCAAGCACAGATACCTGGGCACAGCAGGCAAACTAGTCACTGCTTTTTGACTACTTAGTTGTCTGGCACAGGTTTACTTATGCAGAACAGAAGCCTGATTTGCCAGGTATCACTGCTTTCCCTCATTCCAAGAAAAGGTCACTTAAGTTACTCCTCAGAGTTGTATCCAAGGAGAGGGAAAGTTTAAGTGCTGAAAGCAGAACCGAGTATTTTCTCCTAAAGTCTCATTTGAGCCTCTACATAAGTGTTTACACTGGGATGATTCCATTGTTTAAGGCTGCTCCTAAGATCTTAGAGGAGAAAGGGGCCTACAAGAAAGTATGTGGTTCATTCCCTCTCCCTACCCCTTCCCGCTTATGGGATAATATCATTTTCCCTAGTTTCAGAAAAGGTAACTAACTAAGGCTCTGAGAATTCTCTCAAGGCCACACAGCTGGTAAGTGGGTTTTACTGAGAGGACTAGAATCCAGGTCTCCTGCTTCCTTGTGCAGTGCTCTTTCTATTGTGACTTTTTTCCTGAAGTAGTTTGTATTTTTTAAAAAAGATTTTATTTACTTATTTTTAGACAGAGGGGAAGGGAGAGAGGGAAACATCAACATGTGGTTGCCTTTTGTGTGCCCCCCAATGGGGGACCTGGCCTGCAACCTAGGCACGTGCCCTGACTGGGAATCAAACCCATGACCCTTTGGTTTTCAGGCCGGCACTCAATCCACTGAGCCACACCAGCCAGAGCTAATTTGTATTATTTTTAAAAAGGCAATTGATTGCTCACATAACCAAAAGTTGTTTAATCTGCATATCTTTGTAAGACTTTTCATATAAATACATGAACAAGTCATTTTAAAAATAATCAGAAACAGTGTCCCATTCAAAAAAAATTTAAGATTTTATTTATTTTTAGAGAGAGGAATGGAGGGAGAAAAAGAGGGAGAGAAACAACAATCAGTTGCCTCTTCACATGTCCCCAGCTGGCAAACCCCCAGAGAAACATGGATCAGCTGCCTCTCATACGTGCCCTGTCCAGGGACCAAACCTGCAACCTAGGAATATGCCAAGGTCAGGGCAACAATGTCTCATTTAGAAAAGAAGGTCCCACTTTACTTACTACTGCCACTACACTGTTCAGACCTCTGCCATCATGTGGGGACTATTACTAGCCTGTAAGCTAGAGCCTTTGATTAAATTTACATTTAAATTTACAAGTGGATCAGTGGTAAGTTCAAGACTATCTCTGCTGTGCTCGGTTAGAGACAGATCGGGGTATACTTTAGACTTAGAATAAGATGTTTTCACTTTCTGTGAAAATACTTACTACTCTAAAATTTTCCATAGCCAGGACCATTAGGGGCTCTCTAGTGGCTCATACTGCTCCCATTCCTAACCAACCTTCAAACAGAGGAAGAGGTTCTAATGGACAGAGTAAGAATCCCAAGGCAGCGCAGGCAGTGTATTTATATATTTGTACTTTCAGCCCTCTGGTTCGTTTGGCTTCAAGTCTGTCCCCTGAGATTCTAGGTCATGTCCAAGGCAGGAAGTTGCAATGCAGGAGCAGTCCCAGGAGCCAGTAAGTCAGGAAGTAGCCTAGAATGCATCGTGTGACTAGAGAACAGGTTTTCCAGTTGTACAAAAGTCCCATGATAGAATTTCTGGAGACCTTTTGTCCTGGTGGGGAGTCCCCTGCAAGAGGCTTCCAGGGCACCGTCTCTAGGGATCTCAGCAGTGGCTCTTGATCCTGAAGCAAGTGAGCTGGAAACCAGTACACAATAGGTGTGGACGAGCCCAAAAACCTGGTGAGAACCTGGAAATCATAAAAGGGGGAAACCCACACATTTATTGGAATGTTACTGCCTCAAACTGGACCAGTCTGGGAGATTCCCTGATGCTGGGTGAACAGTAACCCTATGACTAGACATTTATTACACTGGACACAAAATTTAGTAGAGCTTAGGATCTGCCTTATAAAGCTGTGTGTGATACCAGCCAAGTTACCTCAATGTTACAAATAAACACACTACAGACTAATTGCCACAGTACTGGGTATGTCAATACAAAAAAACTCTGTGGGGTCCTATTTTAGAGCATGGCCTGAACTATACACTCTAGGTTGTGATGTGGGGCTTTAGGAACCTAAGGTTGTTCCCTCATCGAATGGGGACGGCAAAGCAGAGGGAAAGGAGGCAGAGGATACTATTTGCTGCTCAACATTCTTCCTTCTAGGGGAGTTCAGGGCCAAATAGCCTCCCTTATCTACCTGGAAACGCTGAACTTTGCTGGAATTCCCTCTACTAGCTAATCCAGCTACAGACACAGAATGTTACTTTCTGTTCCCCTGTGCCTCTTATTCACACAGCTCAGAGAACTTCACCAACAGCCGATGTGTACCCCTAAGAGGCAGAAACTCTGGCACTGCTAAGGAATGGCCAGCATGGAGAAAAAAAAAATACTTCCTTGGGGTTAAGATGAAACTGGGGCCACAGCCAGAAATAAAAAAAATAAAATTGAATGATCAAAACCTTCCCATCCCTATCCCCCACCCCCCAAACATTACACAAAATGTCTCCTCTGAAAACTGAGCACCCACTCAGAATACCTCAGAAAATCAACTACCAAGTTGTAAGTGTATTATGGGAAGATCCCAGAGGTATTCTCTGTACTTATCCCTGTATCTAAGTCAAATCAGGTCCTTTCACAACTCTCATGTCTTTGTATACATCCTTCATTTGTCCAGAATGTTCTTCCTTTGCTTCTTAAATGTAATTTCTTCTTATTCTTTATGACCTGGACTAAATCCGACACCCTCTTTCAATCAGCTTTTTTCCTCTGTGCTTCCACAGTACTTCTCCAAAAAAGCAAGTCCTCTCCCATTCTACTTTGCTCTAATTTTATCTGTTAAATGTCCGTCTCCCATTTTCTACCATAAGATCCACTAGGGCAACAACTTTTTTTTTTAAGATTTTATTTATTTACTTTTTAGAGAGAAGGGGAGAGAAAGAGAGTAACAGCAATGTGCAAGAGATACATGATCGGCCCCAGCTGGTGTGGCTCAGTGGATTGAGCACTGGCCAGTCGGCGCACATACCTGGGTTGCGGGCAAGGATCCCCAGTGTGGGGCGTGCAAAAGGCAACCAAACGTTGATGTTTCTCTCCCCCGCTTCCCCTCTGTCTAAAAATAAATAAAAATATTGAAAAAAGGGATACATGATCAATTGCCTCTCACCACCCCCAAATGGGGACCTGGCCTGCAACCCAGGCATGTGCCTGACTGAGAATGAAACTGGCCACCTTTCGGTTCACAGGCCGGCACTCAATCCATTGAGCCACACCAGCCAGGGCAGTTTATCTTACTCATATTTCACCCTCCATGGTCTGACCCATGGTCTAGCACAAAGAAAGCTCCCCACATAGTTGTTGAATAAATAAATTAGGCACAGGTCACTCAAATGCAAAGTTAGCTCTCCTCCCCGCCCCTGGTCTAGGGGTTTTGCCTGGGTGTACATCCTTTTCCCAGCCAGGAATCCACCTTACCTGAACATGCATGCACAAACAGCCAAAGAGTAGCAGCGCTACAGCGTGAACTAGGTACACAAACACCTGAGGACTGAGGAATCCAGAATCAGGCTTTTCTAGGGTCTCATTGTTCTTGTTCCTCCGCATCCCAAGTGTAAGGCAGAACCAAGGGTGGGTGGTCACATATGTCCAAGTTGCCCAGGCAACGAGTATAGCCACTGGTGCAGCCAGCAAAAAATTCGGCACCTGCTTAAGTTCGTAGTATCTCAAAAAGCCAATATTCCAGTAGACATCCTGGATATAGCTGTATATTAGGGGAAGTTCCCAGGAGCACCAAGGTGGCTTGTTTCCCTCTGCAATTCGGTAGCCCTTGTCCAAAGCTAACTGCAGCAAGGGCTTAGGGATGGAATGGACTGAGCTTGGCTGACAGAATTGGGTGTAGGCATAATACTGAAAGAGGGCAAAGGGAAGGCCAAGTATGAACATGGACAGGAACATAGAGCACATTAGCTTTAAGAGCTGTCTCAGAGGATTCAGTACCATGAGAGAAGAGAAAAAGCCTCGGCACTGAGAATGAATGAGGAAGCCAACACTGACCAGCCCATTGGAGCGTACACCAGTGGCAAGGGCAAAGAGGAGTCCACTAGTCCAGCTTTGGCCCCTTTCCAGCTGCCCCATGGCAGTGAATGTTAGGAGGGCAAACAAAGCTTCTGAGTAACCGGCAGCCAGGAAGATATTGGCAGGGCTGAGGCAGAAAAGCAGTGCTCCGTAAAAGGCCTGGCGGGGACAGTGCAAAACCAGACAGCCCAGGTCATGAAGTGCAACTGCAGCCAGGATAGAGAACAAGGAATTGAGCAATGCTACTGAGATTAACAGGCAACTCCGTAGGCTCAGTAACCCCCGCAGGGGTCTCAGCAGTTCACTCCCCGCCAACAGGACCAGGGGGAAACCAGGGAAAAAGGCAAAGTTGTGCTCATACAGGTAGCCATGCTCAGCAATGAACAGAAAGTGTTCAGCATCCCAGTGAGACAGGCCACCCAGGAGACCTTCCACAAGTTGGTCCACAGAGCCTGAGGGAGCAAGGCGAGGAGGAGAGAAGGCTTCTGCGTGGTGATCTGGGATGATGGCATTGAAGAGTCCCTGTGGGATGAAAGAGAACCAAGATTTTGGTTGAACAACTGGAAGAATTACTATTTAATAAAATGAAGAACAGATTTGTTGGGGGGAATCAGTTTAGTTTTGGCCTAGTAAAGTTTCATTTGGACATTCCAGTGCAGAGGTCAACGAGGCAGTGAGATGAGTCCAAAGGTCAGGAGAGTGATCAGGGCTAGAGATACAAATTTCGGAGTCAGACGTACTAGCGTGGTATTTAAAGGTATGAGACTGAATGGGAGCACTAGGAAGTACAGATAAAGAAAAGAAGAGAGCCGAGGCCTGGGCCCTGGGCACAGTCGGTCACTTGAGAGAGGGTGAACAGTGAGGTAAGGGGAAAATCCAGGAGAGCCTGGTGTCTTAGAACCAAGTGAAACAAGAGTGTGATCAGCTCTGTTAAATGCTGCCGACTGGTTAAGTAAGATGGGGACTGAAAACTGACCACTAGACTTAACAATGTGAAGGTCACCAGTGGCTTTGACAAGAGCTATTTCAGTGGGGTGGAAGAGAAAGAAGATTGCCTAGGCTGAGTTCAACAGCAAAGGGGAGAGGGGAGATAGTGCATACAGGCAACTACTTGGAGGAAGTTGGCTATAAAGGAGAGCAGAGAAAGGGTTAGTAGGTGAATGACAATGTGGGGTAAAGAGAAATCTTTTTTAAAATATTTTTTTAAAAGTTGGGAGATAAATATTTGTTTGCCAATGGGAATAATCCAGTTGAAAGGAAACGAGTACACAAGAAAGTGGAGGATTGCTGGAGCAGGCAAAACAGGATGGAGTCTGCTGCACAGGTGGAGGAGCTAACCTTGGAGAGAAGGGACAGCTCACCCAACCTTCCACAGTAAAGGTGCACAGTGAAAATGTAGTTATGCTGATGGATTTGGTGCAAGCATGAAGAGAATCACTTCTGATTGCTTCCATTTTTCTGAGTTTCCACTTAAAAAAGCCACTTGGAGAAAAGAGGCTAGGGACTTGACCCTAGTTCTCAAAATAGACTATGTACTGGAATCACCCAGGTAGTTTTACAAATACTGATGCCTGGGTTCCTTCCCCAGAGTTAATGATTTCACTGGTAAAATCTCAGGCCGGGGAACTGAGATTTTTTTAACCTCTCCCAGGTGATTCTAATGTGCAGAAAAATGGGGAAGGGGGTGAGTGGACCAAGGAAATACACTAACATTGGGTAGCACTAAGGACTCATTTGAGCTAATGACCTTAATAAAATGAAACTAGTTACTATAGTTTTGTGTTTTACTCTGGGCAGACGCAGGCATGGAATGTAGAGAGAATTGAATTTAACCAAGGTTGGGCATAGGGAGAATGAAGCAAGTGAGTTGTGCAGGAATGCATGATAGAGAACGGAATCTAAGCTGGGTAGGAAGTGAAGCTGAAGCCTTGAGGTGGGTGAGTCATTGAAACGGTGGTAGAATCAATGGATTACAAGTCCTGAGGGGCTGGAAGAATTGTTAGAGTTGGGTACTAGAGAAGGTGAGCTCAAAAGAGAGGAGACAGTAGTCAGGTGTATCATCTTTATTAATATTCAAACTACCAAGAAATCAGCAATTGGGCTAGAAAGAGAAACCGTGAACCAGGAGCTAAAACCTTAACAATGAGGAGGAATGAGCTGTCCTTAACACGGATGACAGCAACAATCAAGGGTAACTAGCAATATATTCTGATGGCATGAGCTTTAAAACTGGAAGGGGGGCACAATGGGAGAAATAACAAAATAGCATTATCATTAAATGTCTTTTTGCCTCATTAAATTGTCAGTTACTCCAGGGAAAAGAGACCATGACTTTTAGGCTCACCACCTAGTATGTGGAACAGAGTAGGTACTTAATAAACTTTGGGTGATTGAGTGAACAGTCTGGAAAACATCCTTGTTTCTAAATAACCATCTGCATTAGAACCCAGCTGTCCTGGTTTCCATCCCAGGTGCCAATTCACAGTGTTGCTCCACTGGTTCTGCCAATCAAAGTTATCATCGAGCCACTTTCTCTAGTCTGGCACTAGGAGTACAACCCCATTTTTAACGTTCTTTCTGTTTTTGGTCATTTTATTTATTTATTTATTTTTATAATCAGGCCACTTCAAACAGTGAAAACAAATGGGACAGGGTTGACAGTCACAGATAACAGCCCTAGTCTCCTAGTTGAAGATACTTCTCACTAAACCTGGGAGCCAGCAGAGTCTGCTATACCTCTTATAGTGAGGGAGAAGAGAGGAAAGATTTCCACAAAGGAACCAGCTATGAGCCTCAGAAAGAATGAAACTTGTGATAAATGGTGCACATAATTATGCTAATATAACATACCTAGGGTGTTGACTACATTTAACAACAACACACTGAGAACCTGCTAAGCACTGGGCACTGGATATAATTCACATGTATATGAAATTTGATTAAAATATATATAAGGACAGCCTTGGAGGGGAAAGGGAGTTTTGCAAAGGTGTGAATGCATTCTGAGGGCTGTGTGTGGGTAAGGCAGCAAGGGGAAACACCTGGGGGAAGACCAGGGGACATTACTGACTAAACAAATGCACACAGATGATCTCAGGGCAGTGTCACTTCTTTCCCTCTCAACTGACTGACATGGTGCTCAGTCTCCTGGTTAGAGGACCCAGGGCAATACTTTGAGCTGTCACATCCTAATGGCATCTCTGGTTATGGAACATCATGGTCTACTGCAAAGACCACTAGATCAAGAGTTAGAAAACCTGGGGTCTGATTCTGGCCCTTCTCTAACTTGCTGTGCGACTTTAGGGAAACCACTCATCTTTTCTGGGCCTTTCCTGCTTCATGTGTAAAGCAAAGGGTTAACAGACCTGCCCACTTTTCAGCTATGAAGCCTAAGTGTTTATGGTTCCAACCACATGGAGGGGCACACCTGGAAGGTTAAAAAGGAGATGGGGACTATTCTTAGTGTCTTGCCCAGTCATATGGCAAGGCATGTTTAAGAAAAAAGATCAGAGACTGACCTGCAGCACCAGAGTCAGGACACGGCAACTGACAGCAAACCTCAGCACCTCTTTTCGGGATGGGTCCAGGAGCCACATCCTCTCACCACAGGAATTCAGGGGTGTTGCTGCCAGGACTGAACTGCCTCAGGCTTCTAAACTCCAAAACCCAAGGAGGCAATGTCACACATGGGCTGAAAGTAAATTCTTGAAATCATTCTTCACAGGAGACTCCCCTTTCCGCACTACTGGGCAAATTTAACCACTTAACTTCCCAGGCGAGGGAAAAGCATCTTGAAGGCAGATGTCACTCTGAAGCACTATATTCTTGTTGGGAAAGTTCCACACAGATAAGCATGAAACTGGAAAGCTAAACTCACAGAAAATCTTTAAAAAGCCTGTTGAGTGTCCCCTATGTAGGAACTAAAGATCTGGGTTCAAGTCCTGACTATGTTACTCACAATTTCTCATTTAGTCTTTCTGAGCCTCAGTTCCTTACATATAAAATGGGTTCATCCCTGGGTGGTGTAGCTCAGTGAATTGAGTGCTGGCCTGCAAACCAAAGGGTCGCTGGTTTGATTCCTAGTCAGGGCACATGCCTGGGTTGCAGGCCAGGTCCCCAGTAGGGGATATTTGAGAAGCAACCACATGTTGATGTTTCTTTTCCTCTCTTTCGCCTTCCCTTCCCTTCTCTCTAAGAATAAATAAAATCTTTTTAAAAAATGGGGTCAGACTATTTTGCCTGTATCACAAAATTATCGTGATGGTGAAATGTGTGAAGAAGTACCACAACATCTATGTTGTGGTTGCTGTTATTTGGTGTGTGCCCTTTTCCTCTTGCCCAGAATAATAAACTAGGTCCCAAACCAGAGTCCCAAAAATGAGGCATAGAACTGAACTGGAAGACCATAATCACTATACACTCTAGCTTAGCTCTCTGATGTGTGTTCAGCTGGTCTGTTAAATTAAGTGGAGAAGGGAAAGAAAACCACCACTCGGCAGGACTTCAGCCAGCTCACACTGCTAAAACAAACTTAGGAGGAAGACAAAGTTGACTACCAGGGATGGAGAAAACTTATGTCCCATCCCTTTGTTGGAATGGCAGCAACATCCAAACAGCTGCAAAGCCATTCTGAGGCAAGGAATGCACGTCAAGGCTTTTTTCTTTTAAACAATTCCTTGGTCTAAAAGAAGTAGCAATGCCTTCTACAGAACCAACTGGGGAAACCAGAAGGGAGGACACGAGCATCAGAGGCAATTCTCTGATTTGGTGTTCTTCCCCCAGTTCCACCCCGCAAACATCTGGAGTTCCCGATGTGTGTTGAGGATCTATCCCTAAAGGAAAACCTAACCTGAGAAATTAATGGACTGGCTGGAAGACTTTTCTGTCTTTTCTTATCTGGCTAATACCTATCAGAACTTTAGGTATTGCTTGTTTCTGGAATTCTTTTTTGACCCTCACTAGACTATGTGATATGCTCTCATTGTACTCTGCCTTGTGGTCTTTACTGCTATTGCTTAATTAAGTTGCTTGGGAAGGCTTTGTCTATCTTGCTGACAACTATCCCCAGGGCCTAGCATAAAAACAGACATTTTAAGCCTGTGTTCTGATTGAGTGGAAGTGGCAAGAACAGGATGTGGCATCACCAGTTCATTGGCTCTGGATATAAAATTACTGCTCCAATAGTCCTCTCACCATACTCATGTTAACAGCAACACTACAAAGTCACAGAAGCCACAGGAAAATAAAATTTGTCCAGAAAGGGAGCAAGACGGGCCAGTGACAACAGTACCTATCCTCAGCACCAGGGGGCGCCCGCTGCTTACTTCATCACCAGGAAGCCTGGAAGGAGGGGCCTCCAAAGCCACACGGTTTTGCTCATCAAAATTCAGTTCAAAGGCAAGCTTCTGAAAATCCCAGAGAACAGAGGTAGTTTGTGAATCTACCCAACATTTCCAACACTGACTCGCTGAATCGAAAGGAATCCTAGAAACAGCCACAGCCAACGTCACAGGCCGCTGGGTCTCTATCTTAGGTGACTTCATATTTTTCCCTTCATTACTTCCCACCCACATACATGCAAAGAAGTTGGGAACAGAAAAGCACAACCCACCTCTGCCTCTTCACCAGGCTGCCATTCTTCCTCTCTCCAGAGTCAAGCTCTAGCCCCAGCGACCACAGGAAACTTGTAGCTTACACTTAGTTTACAAGTAAATCAATAAGAAACAAAACAAAGCCAGTGAGTTCTCCCTCTCAGCTAATTGCCAGCCTCGACTTTCCCAACAACTCCTTTGCCAAATCACTCTCTGCCTGGCAGAACAAGGAACAACTAGTTTTACACTGTTCACGCGAGATAAATATGCCCCAGAGAAGTGAGTAATAAAAGTCTCCCTAGTTTGAAATCAGAGATCTCATTAGACCCTGTGACGCCAGTATAATTACCGTCGCCATTTTATGGATACGGAAACTGAGGCTCGCTGGGGTCCAAAGACACATCCAAGGCTGTATTTAAAGAGAATGCTTTTTTTTTTTTTTTAATTCTGAAACCTCATGGTCTTCCCACCAGGCCTTACCCCGGCCAAAGGGGACGTGATCTTTCTGAGACATGATTACAACCCAAGTCTCCTAAATCCAGCCCCGGTACTTGTCCAATGGCGGCGCAAGCCTCCTGCTGAGTATTTTGATGGTAGAGAGGGCCCTTTCTGAGAATACCGGCAAGCCTGCTAAATTAAAGCCCTGGGCTCTCTGGGTAAGACTAACATCCTCTGTGGGGTGGGTAAATGGCTCTAACCAAGCGTTCTCAAGACCAGAGGCCTCGCGGGACTTAGCGAGCCAGGGACCACCTGCTGCCAGCCCAGCCGCGCCTAAAGCCCGTTCTAGCCCGCTTCGTTCAGTCATAGTCCTAAGCGGGAATCGAGTACGTCCTCTCCCCAAAGGCCCCAAGGGATATTTCCGAGGGGGCCTGCGAGGCCAGGCCTGGCCGCAGGGCCGGAAGGCAGGGCAGGGCGGGAGACTGTAAAGGAAGAGGCGGCCCTTGGAGGCCGCTATGGCGGAGGGGCGGGTCTCCGCGCTTCTTGGCAGCCTCCGCCTCCTTTCCCTCGGCCTCCGTTTGACAACTTCCCTCCCCCAAGAACTTTCAGGCTCACACGCCGGGGCTCCGGTCCCTAGCACCCGCGCCAGCGCGCCTCAGTGTCCCAGGCAGGACCCGAACTTTAGCTCTTCCATCCGGGACACCTAGCGGGCCGCGCCTGCGCTTTGGCTCCGCCGACGGCGGACCCGCCCCTCACCTCACGGCACTCGAAGCACCCCCCGCCTCCGCGGCGGCCATGATGACTCCGGGCAAGTGGGGCGGGGACTGCAGAGCCCCACCATTCCGCGCCCCTTTGCCTTGGCACCTTTCCTCAGTGGTGACACTTGGAGACTACCCCCCGCCCCCGCACTACACGCTACTCGAGTCGCCTCTCCCGCCTTCTTTTAGTCCCCCGGGCCTGCTGTCTCAGAGTCGATGTTCTTGCCCCTATTCCATCCTGCAAACATCCACTGAGTTCCCAATGTGTGACAAAGCTCTCGGAATTGGGGACTGCCCCGCGGCCTCTTTCTTCACAGAAGCCAGAGCTGCACTTTCCCTGCTGTCAGGCAAGCAGCTGAGCACAGCGTCTCGGAACACACAATAGATGTTCCGAGAATAGGAAAAAAAGCTTCCTTGGGGTTCCTGTGGCCAGCAGCAGCACCCTACGTCGTGAGTGTGAAGAAAGTGGGGGATCCCCGACTTTCCACTCTTGCAACTACCAGGGACCTTCTGTCCTACTTCAAGCCCCAGTCCCACCTCAGGTGGCTAATGAGGATGGTGAAGGAAACTCAGAGAACACCCCCCAGGACTCCTTTCTTCCTCATTCAAGTAGTTTCTCTCGTAGGAAGTGGGGCCAAAAAAGAAGAAGAAGAAAAAAAAGAAGCTAACTCAACAAAACCGTCTGTTAGGGAGGAGCGGCCAGTTGGTACCCCTGTAACGGAAACTGTTAGAACAACTTTGCACCCTACTTAAAGGAAATAGATAATAAATCCTTCTCCGTTGGTGAATTTCTTGTTTCTCAGGATTCCAAAGCCTTCTGTGGTTTCGGTTATCTGCCCTCCAAACGAAGCTAAAGGCTGGGTTAGCTTCTGGCCACAACCTTGGCTGAGGGAGGGGTTTATCTTGTACAACAGATACTCTTGTGGGTGGGAACAAAGAGATGGTTGCTATCTCTCAGGCAAAGAAAGTAGCCCAGATCAGTTTTTGGGGGGTCAGGGACTGTATCTTTTGATTCTTTTTTTTTTTAAACATTTTATTTATTTATTTTTTTTTAGAGAGAGGGGAAGGGACTTGGCCCCAGAACCCAGGCATGTGCCCTGACTAGGAATCGAACCAGTGACCTTTAGATTCATAGGCTGGCAATCAACTGAGCCACACGGGCCAGGGCTCTTGATTCTTTATAATTCATTTCAGGCCTTGAGACCTAAACTTCCTTTCATGTATTTGTTGTGTATTGGGTGGTTAAAGTATGTCACATTTTAGTTGTGTATTGGAGAAGGGAAAAAATGGAATTTAGAAGAGTCTTCCCCCAGGCTTTTCAGTGACACCCACACTTGTCCTCAGCTCCAGAGGCCTGTGAGTGAATCAGAAACTGGGGCCTAAGGCTGTGGCTTGAGACTCTAGATGTCTGTGGGGCTCCAAGCAGCACTCTACTTGCAAACACCAAACTGAGAAATGAACTGCTCTTGCTTTGTGAATTCATGTGGGGCAAAGACATGCATTCTCTCTCTCTCTCTCTCTCAAGATTTATTTACTTTTAGAGAGGGGAAGGAAGGGAGGAAGAGAGGGAGAGAAACATCAGTGTGTGGTTGCCTCTCACGTGGCCCCCACTGGGGATCTGGCCTGCAACCCAGGCATATTCCCTGCCTGGGAATTGAACCGGCAACCCTTCAGTCCACAGCCTGTGCTCAATCCACTGAGCTACACCAGCCAGGGTCATTCTCTCTTTTTTGTAAGATTTTATTTACTTATTCATTTTTAATATATTTTATTGATTATGCTATTACAGCTGTCCCATTTTTTCTCCCCTTTATTCCCCTCTGACCTGCACCCACTCCCACCAGCATTCCCTTCACCCTTAGTTCATGTCCATGGATCATATATATAAATTCTTTGGCTTCTCCATTTCCCGTATTATTCTTAATCTCCCCCTGTCTATTTTGTACCTACCATTTACGCTTCTCATTCCCTGTATCTTTTCCCCCATTCTCTCTCCTCCCCCCTCCCCACTGATAACCCTCCATGTGATCTCCATTTCTGTGATTCTGTGCCTGTTCTAGTTGTTTGCTTAGTTTGTTTTTAGGTTCAGTTGTTGATAATTGTGAATCTGTTGTCAAGATTTTATTTATTTTCATTTTACTTTTTAATGAATCCTTAGCACAAAAATTTAAATACCACAAAAAAACAAACCTGGCCCTGGCTGGCATAGCTCAGTGGATTGAGCGCGGGCTGCAAACCAAAGCATCGCAGGTTCAATTCCTAGTCAGGGCACATTCCTGGATTGCAGGCCACAGCCCCCAGCAACCACACATTGATGTTTCTCTCTCTCCTTCTCCCTCCCTTCCCTCTCTAAAAATAAAATAAATAAAATCTTAAAAAAAAAACCCTGAAAAACAGTTACAGTGTAAGAATTTCAGAAAAATCAAAGTAAATGAAAACAGAATTTTTTTAATTGTTGTTCAGTTAGTTGTCCCCATTCCCTCCCACCTGCCCCGTCACTCTTCCCTTTCCTGTCCAACCTCTGCTTCCAAAGACAATCCCCACCCCACTGTCTTTGTCCATGAGTCCTTTGTACATGTTCCTTAGTTCCTTGACTTGACCCTTCCTCTTATGTCCCCCATTGTCCCCCTTCCCCTCCCCTCTGGCCTTTATCAGTTTGTTCTTTATTTCCATGTTTCCGGTTTGTATGTCTTGATTAGGTTCTACTTATAGGTGAGATCATATGGTATTTGTCTTTCACTGCCTAGCTTATTTCACTTAGCATACTACTCTCCTGTTCCATCATGCTGTCGCCTGTGTAGTATTTCATTGCGTCAATGTACCACAGTTTTTTGATCCACTCATTTACTGATGGGCACTTTGGCTGGTTCCAGCACTTGGATATTGTAAATATTTTATTTTTAGAGAGAGAAGTGGAAGGGAGAAAGAGAGGGAGAAAAACATCAACAGGTTGCCTCCTGCACACCCCCAACTGGGGCCCTGGCCTGCAAACCAGGCATGTGCCCTGATTAGGAATCAAACCAGCGACCTTTTGGTTTGCAGGTCAATGCTCAATCCACTGAGCCACACCAGCCAGGGCTAAAGACATGCATTCTTCAGTTTCTGTCTCCCCACACGAAATTCCCTCAAAAATCTATTTGTAAAAAGGACAGGCGTCTCTTGTGGCAAGTCAGAATTCTAAAGCTCAACTGCTCAACTGTCACCCTTTAGAGGGAGAACTTTGTCCAGATCTTTAGCTCTACTTTCCTGCAATTTTTCCTTCCTTTCCCTCTCTGCTACGCACTCCCCTCCTCTTCCGCTCTGTTTCCTGTTTCATTTTGTGGCTCCTGCTCTGACAGGAAAACAAGGAAGCTACATCTTATGCTCTCAAAGCCCTGGTTTGTCAGAATAGAACGTTAGGTGGGATGGGAGGGGGTTCTGGGCCTCCAAGGCTATAAGAAGTAGAAGAGGCAATCTCTCTAGTCTGCTTTTTGAGTCAGCAGCTAAAATGGAGCCTGCATCTACACAGTGAGCCGGCTGAGTGACCAGCACTGTGGGAGAGCGAGGGAGACAGAGATGTATCCCAAGGCTCCAGAAACACTCTACACTACCCAGCCACTTCCATTAAGAAGGAAATGTCCTACACCACCAAGAAACAATTTCATAATGCAAATCCCCGACCTAAACAATGCACAAACAATGCACCACTGTTTCTAGAATCCTAGAATGTAAGAGTTACAGCATTTCTGTTTCTTGAAATTGCCTGGCTCTGCTCTTGCTTCAAACACTTCACTGCCAGACCACCCTTTGGCAAGCCCACGGCATTCAGATGTCAGCTGAATGTTACCTCCTCTGAGAGGCCTCCCCTGACTATCTAACCACAACCAACACCCTGTACTAACTATCCCATTTCTATTTTCTTCATAGCACTCATCACCACCTGGTTGTCCTGTCCATGAGTTTTACTAGTCTGTTTTCCTGTTATGGAATGTAAGCTCTGTGAGAGTGGGGGCCTTATTCAAAGTATTACCAGCACTTAGAACAGTGCTTTGCACATTGTAAGTACTCAATAAAGATCTAGTGAATAAATCAATTTGTTTAACCTGCTACCTATATTTTAGGGATGCAGGAACTAAGATTCAGGGGAAGTGACTGGCCTGAACTTCCACAGCTAGTGGCAGAGGTGGGACTTAAATGTAGGTTTCTAGCTTCCCAAGCTGGTTTCCCCCCAAACCTCCTGCAAAACTCCACACTATTTTTAATGTTTCTCAAGTTTACTTCTTCCTCTCTCTTTTTTTCTCCCCACATAACTATTTACGGGCTATGCCAAGAATACTACACAGGACACACCAATGCCTAACTACTCTTTCCTCCACTAAATTCTTCTTGCCTGCTTGATTTATTCAACAAAATGGGAATGTCTACTGTCAGAGGGAATGATAACACTAAACAAGGCAGATACAGCTCTTGTCCTCATGGAAATATCTACCTCATGGATTGTACAGTGCTTGCCATGAAGTGCTAAGGATGGGCTGTTAGACCTCTCTGAATGAAAAGAGGAGTGATTTTTCCACTGAAGGATGGAGGAAAGTTCTCATGGAACACTCTCCTCCTTGAAGCACTCTGACAACTCATTTCTCTCTGTAGCTGTGTTGCCTTGCTCCTGCCACATCTGGAGATGGCCTTGGCCCCAGACTGAGCAGAGAAAACAGCCCAGTCTGTCTATTCTCAGTAGCTCAGTTTCCAGACACTAAACTTTCCATGACCCCAGTCCTATTTGAATATTGGAGAAGTTGAACCTGATCTGGAACTTTGGCTTTGAGGCCATGTCATTATGGGAAAAAATGACCACACAGGCCTCTGATACCTGTCACTGCCAACTGTTAGCAGGCAGAGCTAATGACTGTGATGACAGGCAGCTGGGCCTTACCAGAACTTCATGCTACTTCTTTTTGCTAGGGATAAAAGGCGTAACGGCAGTTTCCAAGGATCTTGGGTGACATTCACATCCATCCTGAAACCTGGGCTGGCCAAAAGCCTATGTTTTGGGCTTCTGCTACATCATTCGAAATTGCCCATCCACCCCAGGACAAAGATCCTGCCCTACCTCCCAGACACAGGACCCAAACACTCATCCTTCGAAAGCCATGGACACAAGGTTATTTTTCATCCTTTCTTTGGTGTTTGCCTTTCAGTAGTTAGAAAACCTTGACCCCACTGAGAGGCCTAGTGGGAAGGGCCTTAGCCACTTAGGGGTGGCAGTGGCTGTAAGGCAAAAGAGCCAATGAGGTTCAGAGTATTGTTTAGGCCAGACTTGGCTGCTCTCCAGCTATGAAAGAAGGTTAAGGTCATTTAGGGGGTGGGGAGGGAGGAGCCTGGGAAAAGAACTACTGGACACACCCCTGGGCTCTCTACTGGCAAAGGCTCTATTTACTTCTCAAAAGCAAATTACTCACAGCTCAGTGGCTAGCAGTTCTTGGCCTGTGTTAACACCAGTCAGAAACTGGAGACCAGGCTAGGCTCTCCCTGCATTGCAAGAGAGCAGATGAAAGGAACCCAGGAAACCAAACTCCTAGGCAATGCTCCACACACAGCCCAGAAATGCACTTTCTACACCAGACAGTGGAGTTCAAGAGGCCCGGAGCAAAATTAGCCATTAGCATTATTGCTCACCAAAGTATAGATATGAACATTTTCTTTCAGTTTTTTTTTCCAGAAGAGTCCTAGGAAATTGTCTTGGTCAATAGTTAGCCAATTGTCTCCATTTCTC